CCACCCTTACTAGGATTCCTCCAGCTGCTTCAAAGCCATTCATTATCGTTCATCCTGGCAGATGGAACTCCCCTATGAACAGACAGTGTTGGTAGTGAACCCCTGAGTCTCCTGCCTGCCCCCACAGGCCACAGAACCCTCCAATCTGATGGCCCAGCATGCTGCCAATCTGGTTCCATCCCCCATCACTCAGGCCACACACATCATTTTGCTCCATTCTGCACTTGTGAATTCCACTCCCTGGCAACTGGCACCAGCTCTCCCCTCCCAGTGCCCTGATATCCTCTGGTTAATAAGCAGCTCACATAAAGACACCAAGAACTATTGCAAGAGGGGGGAAAAAGCTGAGGCTCTCCGAACACAGGCCAAGAAGCCCTGGACTTGGCCCAAGAACTCGCTGGCTGTTTCTGTTCTCTGCCCTTTGGTAGCCGTGCTCATAGGTTGTAGAAGGAAGAGAAGCATGAATGCTTCCTCTAAAGCTGTAGTGGACCATAAAGCAATACGGTGTTTGTTTAGCAATGAGAGACTCTTGCTGAAGCCTGAGGTCCCTTCCTGGAGGATATTAGTCCTCTCCAGAACATGCAAACTTTCTGCCCTTTATCCTTTCAAACCTATTTCTAGAAGAGTCTTCAGTTAAGTCGCTCAGTTGTGTCCAACTCTTTGCAACCCCGTGAACTGTAGCCCACCAGGCTCCTCCATCCGTGGGATTCTCCAGGCAAGAATACTGGAGTGGGTTGCCATTTCCTTCCCCAGGAGATCTTCCCGACCCAGGGATCGAACCCAGGTCTCCCGCATTGCAGGCAGACGCTTTACCCTCTGAGCCCCCAGGGAAGAGTCTTAGGTCCCTGTCAATGAAAGTACTAAGCTCTTCCCACTCCCCTCTCTCTCCTCTCTGTCTTCCTGAGCTGCCCAGGTGGCACTCTTCTTGTCCTCACCTTCATCTGCCACACTGTGCTTTATCCCCCAGGATTGGGAGGTGTCCTTGAGACATCCCTGTGGAAGGAAGCAGTGGGAGCATGTGCCAGTGCCCCCCTCATTGTCACTGGGGTCTGAATCCAAGCCTTCCAGGAGAGCTGGAGCCCTCTCCCTGGGCCTACCCATTGTCAAGGTCCTGGTCACCTTTAAAGCCTCCTGCAGGGATTCCCACTGCCAATGGATCCTTTTCTGAAGCCCGGCACTGTGACATTTTAGCCTTGGAAATCCCTAGACAAATATGTCTCACTTAATCCCCACCACGCTGGCCCTCGGAGGAGACTCTTGCTTGGCCAAACTTAACAAGTACCACTAGTTCTTGTGGCAGACATTCCCCGTGTCCTAGGCATTGTGTTCAGGGCCTGGGAGAAGGATAAACAAGCTAAGGTCTCTGTCCTTGAGGATCAGCCAGCGATTAGAAGGGGCACGTGAAACAGGAGCCCCTCCCCAGCCCCCAAACACCTCATACCCCGTGTTCTTTTACTCTCCCAGGCTCTCCAAGACCCTGCTCTCTCACCATTTATCTGCTCTGTAACTTTAATCAGTCGCTCACTCCAAACCTCAGGTTGCTCATCTGTAAAATGGGGTTATTAATAGTATCTGCCTTGTAGAGATATCATGACACCACTCATTTGTAAAGCACAAGAAAATAAGTGCTGGATGTGAAGATAACACTTGCCAGGGAGAGTGGTCGAAGCAGGGAGGGCTGAATTTGAACCCCAGTTCCCCCACGGCCCCTGACACTGTCTGCTTGTGAAAAAGCCATTCTCTCTGAGTATCAGCTTCATGGGCGACAATTTACTTCGTTAGAGTAAATTAGTTGATATATGTGAAAATTCTTCCCTCATAGCAGTTCAACATATTAACCCCTTGGAACTTCTTAAGGATCTGAAGACCCTGAAGCTCCAGGAATCCAGAAGAGAGGGAGGAAGATGCTAATGCCTCCTTTAGCAAATGTCGCCCACTCTCCCCATTAACCCTTGAAGCTTGCCCCTCCCAGTTTGGTTCTCCTGAAGCCAGAGAGGCTGCTCCATGATCAGCCATGTCCCTCCCTCTGTCCTCTGTGCCTCTGTACTAAGTACCTGGAGGCCCTTGTCCTGTCCACACTCAGGCGTCACTCCGCCTGAGATAGCCATTGAGCTCCTCTAATCTTTCCCCACAACTCAATCTCCCCCTCTCCTCACCCCCCACTTCATCCCTTGTTCCCCTAGCTTCTTAATCAAATTAAGGGAAAGAAGAGGATTTAGATAGGGTTACTAAATATATTCCTGTTCAGGGGGAGAGAGAAACAGAGGACTTTGGAGGAGGAGGCATAGTGTGAAATTCCTAAATGGAATGTGCTCTGAGAGCCTCCTTTCTCTAGAATAAGCCCCAGAATCGCCTATCTGGATAGAGTTTTCTCTTTGGCAAAGTGCTTTCACAAACATTATCTCATTATGATACAGGCCCAGGTGGCAGAGTGCCCACTCCCCGGAAAGGTCTGCCGAGGCCATCGTGCCTCGCAAGCTGCTGTGACCCTGGTCTATATATTTCACAGGACACCCTGGCCCCACAGGGGTGACTCGGCTTTCTGCAGAGCGTGACACCCCCAGAGGGGCCACTCACAGCTGGAGGTCACAGTTTTCCCTTCTGTGTGCTTCCCACATCAGATTCAGAATCTTTGACAAATTTTTACTTTTTAAAAAAAAAGATAAAACATTTATTGTAGAATTTTTTGAAAACACACTGACTTATAAAGGAGAGGACAAAAACTACCTGTAATCTACAACCTAACTGCTAGTAATATTTTGAGGTAGCTCCTTTAAGTGTTTTTGAAATGCACTTTGTGTATATGTGTGCATTTACAAAATGGGATTACAGCCACATGCATTATTTGTATTCTGCTTTTATATTTAATATTATTTTTGTTTCCCATTTCATCAGAAATTCTTCTGAAATATTATTTTAAAATAGCATGAACTAGAATTTTTTTCCTTATTAAAAAATTACACATGTCTGCTATGAAATAATCATTGCTCATATTGGTTGAGTCTCTTAAATAGCCAGAAACCCTGGCCACATAAACACATTTAATTCTCATAACAGCTGTCCTGGGTAGATATTGATAAACCCATTTTACAGGTGAAGAGACTGAGGCCTTGAAGAGGCAAAGAACTTGCCCAACTAGCAAAGACTTAAAATATCTATGGGATTTCACACACAATTTTGGACCAAATTGCCTATACCAATGACCACATTTAATTACTTATACCATATTGTCCAAAGTGGATTAATTATAATTAACTATTCTCTTTTGCTGGACATTTCAATTTTTTTGGTGTTATAATGAAGCAGTGATTATCTTTGCATAAAATCATCTTTGTTCACACCTCTTATTATTTCTTTAGTCATTTCCTAGAAGAATGACTGAATCATCATTTTCAAGTCTTGTTACTTACTAACAAGTGACTTTCCAGAAAACCAGTATGCCCTCCCATCAGCATGTGTCAGAGAAGACCCTCTTTAAAGACGGTTCAAGTTCCTCTTTGATTTGATTTACATTTCCTTGATTGCTCACCAGGTTGAACTTTTCTCTCATGCACTCATGAGTCAGTTGTAGCTTTGTGAGTCAGCCTCACAGAGAGCAACTCACCCTTCCTGCTGGCCCTTAACTTCTCCGCTGCTTTTTACTAGCTGTTTCTCTGAGTTTCATTCTGGACCCAGATAACTTAGGGATGCATCAGCAAAGAGAAATTGTTTCATATTCAACACACCTAGGAGGACTTGGGTCTTGATGAGCCTTTAGGTCCTCATCTTGCCCCCCACTTCCTCTCACCTTCAGCCACAGGTGTAGCTCCCTCGGAATTGCCCCACCTCAGAGCAAAGGCGAGAGCTCAAGATTTCTCAGGCCTTTCTAGAGACAGTATAGTTTTGTTCTCTTCCCAAGAAACTTCAGCTCCTTTTGTTCTCAGGGGAGGTGAGAAAGGGATGGGGGCAGGAAGAAGAAACCCCTGGGCTGAGGCAGCCTGCGTCTCCCCTACCGAGCTTTGTGACAGGGACCGAGCCCCCCTGCCACCCCACCGCGTCTTTGAAGAGCCCTTTGATCCTCTGAGTTAGGGAGGAATGCACTGTCATTTCCGATAGGTTGTGTAATCCCCTCTTCTGCCCAGAGCCTGAGAGGCACAGAAGGTGCAGCCAGCGCTGAGGGAGGGCAGGTGCCAGCAGGTTAGTCACGTGTGCCCTCAGCGTCCAGGAGTTCCTGGTTTGGGGCTCCAGCCTGAAATGCTATCCGACAGGTGTGTTCACTTTGGGTTCAGTCCTGCACTGCAGTCACCTCCAGAGGCTGCCTGCCACGCTGCATGTTGGGTTGTCCTCTGGCCACCAATTTCTCTTCTGTGGACGCTCTCTCCTCTTCCAAGCTCCAGGTTTTAGTCCCCTCTGTCCCCCTTCCTCACCTCCATTTAGATCTTCCACTCAGGTTGTTGCACATTCAGTTCTCTCAGGTGTTCTCTGCATGGAGTCAGAGGGGTCTTTGAGTTACTCTAAACAGGGAAAGTGGAAAAAAGCAGATGTCTGGCCTAAGGACTGGACAATAAGACCTTCCTCAGCCTCTTGACATAACTCCATTTGCTTTTACATCAAAATCGTGTCTTTGACTCAATTCCCTATTTGAAGTTGATGTTACAGAAGGCTTCCTTCTGTTATTCTAGCATATCTGAGCTCCAGCACATGGATAAGGATGCTCCACACCACGAAAAATTGGCACTTGTGAAGGGACAAGAATTATGAAAAGCATCAGAAAGCCCAAAATGGCATTCTGCTTGTGCTAATAGAATTTCAGAAGCATCACCTTACAGCAGTTAGGATTAGGGAAACAAAGGTTTAGAAGACCCCTTCTGGGGTCATAGCACGATAAAGTTGGACTGCAGGCCAAACAAGTGGTCACCCACAATGCTGTATGAATTCAGAGAAGGGGGCACCAACAGACCTCAGGCAGCCAGGAAGGCTTCAAAGAGCCAGCTATTCAAGCCGGACCTTAAAGAAAAGACATGAGATTTGAAAAGTGGCCTCGTGAAAGAGGACATTCCAACAAGGGGTAAGGAACAAGCTAAAACATAGAAGTGGAAATGCAGTTGGCACATTTGGGAATTGCAAGATTCATTTAGCTGCTCCAGAACACGTGTGCAGGGTACCGTATCTGTCAGGGTTCCACCAGACAAAAAACCAGTGAGTGAAGTGAATGGAAGTCGCTCAGTTGTGTCCGACTCTCTGCAACCCATGGATTATATTGTCCATGGAATTCCCTAGGCCAGAATATTGGAGAGGGTAGCCTTTACCTTCTCCAGGTCTCCCACATTACAGGCGGATTCTTTACCAGTTGAGCCACAAGGGAAGCCCAAGAATACTGGAGTGGGTACCTTTTCCCTTCTTCAGTGGATCTTCCCGACCCAGGAATTGAACCAGGATATCCTGCATTGCAGGCAGACTCTTTACCAACTAAGCTATCAGGGAAGCCCCCTAGTAGGACATACAATAAAGACTTATTGCAAGTAACTGGCTTCTGTGATGGGGGCCGTCAGGTAAAATCTGAAATCCATAAGTGGGGCTGTCACGAAGGGCAGATGGAAGGAAACTTTCACACAAGAAGTGAAGCTACTCTCCACACACGGAATTTCTACTTCAAAGAAGCCTCATCTTTGCTCTTAAGGCTTTTCAACTGATTAGATCAAGAGTACCCAGATTATCTAGAATACATTCATTTACCTAAAGTCAGCTGATTCTTTTTTCAGCTTTATTGAGGTGTAATTGACAAATTGTTAGATATTTAAAGTGTACATCATGATGATTTGATTACTGTATGCATTGTAAAAGGATTCCTTCCCATCTAGTAAGTTAATACATCTATATAACACTATATGTACATGTGTATATTTATATAGTATGTGTGAGAGAATATTTGTTTTACTCCTTTTGTAAATTTCAGTTATGGAATTTTTATCAACTATAGCTTCCCTGGTGACTCAGATGGTGAAGAATCTGCCCACAATGTGGGAGACCCAGGGTCAGGAAGATCCCCGGGAGAAAGGAATGGCTACTCCAGTATTCTTGCCTGAAGAATCCCATGGACAGAGGAGCCTGGCGGGCTACAATCAGACACAACTGAGCTACTAACACTTTCACTTTCATAGTTACCATATTATACATTAGATCCTCACACTTTACTAATATTATAACTGAAATTTATACTTTTCTACTAACCTCTCCCTATTTCTCACACCCCTCTCCCCCAGCCCCTGGCAAGCACTTTTCTACTCCCTGTTTTTTTGAGTTTGATTTTTTTTTTAGATTCCACATATAAATGATATCACACAGTATTTGTTTTTCCCTATCTGGTTTATTTCAGTTAGCATAATGCCCTGAAGGTCCATGCATATTGTTGAAAATTGCAGGATTTCCTTCATTCTTATGTCTGGATAGTATTCCTGTGTGTATGTGTGTGTGGGTTGCCACATCTTTATCTGTTCATCATCCATTGACTGGCACTTAGGTTGTTTCTTTCTCTTGGCTATTGTGAATAACGCTGCAGTGAACATGGGACTGCAAGGAATCAATATCCTGTTTTCATTTCCCTTGGATATATACCCAGAAGTAGAGTTGCTGGATCATGTGGTAGTTCTATTTTTAATTTTTTGAGGCACCTCCATACTGTTTTCCATAGCAGCTGCACCAGTTTACACTCCTACCAGCACTGCCCCAGTGTCCCCCTTTCCCCATATCCTCATCAACACTTGTTATCTCTTGTTGTTTTGATGACAGCCATTCTAAGAGGTGTGAGGTTAAAGTTCAATATGGTTCTGACTTGCATTTCCCTGATGTGAGTGATATTTGAGCACCTTTTCATAGACCTGTTGGGCATTTGTATGCCTTCTTTGGAAAATGTCTGTCCATTTTCAAATAGGGTTGTTTAGTTTTCTTGCTGTTGTGTTGTATGAATTCTTTTTTTTTTTTAAACATTTATATATTTATTTAATACTTATTTATTTATTTTAGTTGCAGCTCATAGGATCTTTAGTTGTGGCATGTGGGATCTAGTTCCCTGACAGGGAATGAACCTGGGCCCCTCGGCATTGGGAGCATGGAGTCTTAGCCACTGGGCCATCAGGGAAGTCCCTGAATTCTTTATATAATTTAAAAATTACTCCTTATCCAGATACATGATTTACAGATGTTTTCTCCCATTCTGTTGCTTGCCTTTTCATTTCATCGATGATTTGCTTTGCTGCACAGAAGCTTTTTGGTTTGATGTAGTCCCACTTGTCTAGTTTTGCTTTCATTGCTTTTGCTTTTGGTGTCAAATCCAAAAAAATCATTGCCAAGACCAAAATGTCAAGGAGATAACCCCCTATGTTTTATTCTATGAGTTTTACAGTTTCATGTCTTAAATTTAATTCTTTAATCCATTTTGAGCTGATTTTTGTGTATGATACAAGATAGAAATTCACTTTTATTCTTTTGCATGTGGCTCTTCAGTTTTCCCAATACCAGTTACTGAACAAATTACCCTTTCCCTATTGTATATTCTTGATTCCTTTGTTGTCAATTGACCATTTATCCATGGATTTATATCTGGGCTCTCTACTCTATTCTGCTGATCTATTTGTCTCTTTTTATGAATACCATACTGTTTTATTATAGTTTTATAATATAATTTGAAATTATGACCTGTGATGTCTCCAGTAACTTCAACTGATTATGAATGCTAATCCCATCTACAAAATACCTTCACAACAACAGCTAGATTAATGCTTGATTGAATAACTTGAGATTGTAATCCAGCCAAAATGATACATAAAATTGGCCATCTAATTGTACTAATTATAATGAAACTAGAGAGAGAATTGGGTCAGCATGATTTTTCAAGGCATGAGACTGACATATGTGAAGTAAATTTATTATTTATTACTTCCCCATGGAATTAGATCCCCATTATCTTTACTGATTTTCAAATTCTGTTATCTCTTTAGTGGAAACTCAAGACCCAGAGAGGAACATTAGGTTTATCATGAACCCCATTTAGAGATGAACCTCATTTTTCCAAGGCTAAAATTGAGATAGGTCAGTTAATTGGTCCAGGCTCCAGCCTATCTGTTTCCAGCAGAAAGCCTCAATAAGTACTCAGCCTGAGAATTCTGGGTTGAGGGAGAAGACTGTTTTGAACCTTTTCTCCCTCCTCTCTGTCCAACTCTATCCATCACTGAAACTAGAGAATATGGTTCCAGAAGGTCTTTATGTCTCCTTCCATACCTGCTGCTCTTCCTCGCAAGTCTGAGGCGGACTTCTGAACACCAGCAGGTTGAATCTACAACTGAAACTGAATAAATCAGGCATAGGTGGGAAGTTATTTGTACTAGACCAACCCTGGTTAGAAGATGATTCACAATACCCATCCTCAGGATTAGCAGTGAGCCAGTTTGCCCAGTGAGGTGGTTTTACAAAGAAACCATAACTTTTTGGTCTGATATGGAGCTTAAGGAAAAGATCTGAGCAAGGACTCTATCCTCTTGTGACTTGGGACTTGAATTGTGCACGACTCTGGGCTTTTCGGGCTTCCTTGGTGGTTCGGTGGCAAAGAACCCACCTGAAATGCAGGAACACGGGTTTGCTCCCAGGGTCGGGAAGATTCCTTGGAGAAGGAAATGTAAACCCACTCCAGTATTCTTACCTGGAGAATTCCATGGACAGAGGAGGCTAACAGGCTACAATCCTTGGAGTTGCAAAAGAGTCGGACATGACTTAATGACTAAAACAACAACAATTGGGCTTTTCCCTTTAAGAGTTCTGTGCTATCAAACCCTTAGAGCAACAGGTGACCCTGAGGAGCAGAGAAAGGAGACAAAGTTTTTACTAAAGTTTAGATTCTGTGCACCTGGGCTTCTGAGAGCCTATCTCATCCACTTCAGTGGCCTCAAGAGCAGAAAAATGATGGAATGAGGCTGACAAACTCCTGCTGACAGTTACATTTCCTTTCTTAGAAGAAAGAGGAGGAAAATAAGAAGTGGCAACGCTTCCCAGATTTAGAAAGTAAAAAGCAACTAATAGGGAATCTGAGATGGTTTGGTGACCAGGAACTTGGGGGTCTGTGCCAGAGCCCCACTTCATCTGGAATCACTCTTGGAGGCTTACCTGAAGGGGGACGAATGGGCTGGGGCTGCCAGAGTGCTGAGCACCTCCTGTGGTGAGTTGAACTAGCAGGATAGAGAATAGGTGAAAGGTGAGTTCACCAAACTGATGGGGCAAAGCAGGACAGTGTGGCAAGGATCCGAAAGAAGTGGAGCACTACTGTTTTGCTTTTTACTTTTTTATTTTTGGCTGTGCTGAGTGTTCATTGCTGCATGGGCTTTCTCTAGTTGCAGTGAGCAGGAGCTACTCTAGATGCAATGTGCAGGCTTCTCATTGTGGTGGTTTCTGTAGTTGCAGCTCCTGGGCTCAGGAGTTGTGACTGTTGGGCTCTAGAGCACTGGCACAGAAGCTGTGATGCACAGGCTTAGTTATGGAATCTCCCTGGACCAGGGCTCAGACCTGTGTCCCCTGCATTGGAAAGTGGATTCCTTACCACTGGACTACCAGGGGAGTCCCAGTGGAGCACTACTGTTGATGGGAATGTAAAATGGGGCAGCCTCTCTGGAAAACAGTATAGAGGTTCCTAAAAAAATTAAGAATAGAACTACCAAATGATCCAGCAATCTCCTTTTGGGGATATGTCCAAAAGAATTGAAAGTGGAATCTTGCAGAGATTGGCACACTCACGTTCACTGTTGCATTATTCACAATAGCCAAGAGGTGGAAGCAACCTAATTGTCCATCAGCAGATGAACAGGTAAAGAAAATATGGTCTATCCAAACAATGGAATGTTGTTCAGCCTTTTTAAAAAAAAAAGGAAATTCTGACACTTGCTACAATGCATATGAACCTTGAGGACATTATGCTAAGTGAAATAAGCCAATCATAAAAAGACAAGTACAGCATGATTCCACTTATATGAGATATGTAAAGTAGTCAAACTCTTAGAAACAGAAAATATATGTTTTTCTGCC